GGGATTGTGATAAGTGCTTCCAGGTTTGCTTTCCCCCTTTACAAATAGGGTAATAACTCCAAATTTCTTATTACCCTGAAGTTCTGCAGCAAAGCGCAAACAACATAAAACATGATAAAAACATGACTTTTACATTAAATAAACTCAAAATTATTATACAGAAAAATTCAAAAACAGCCTAAAATGTTAAAACATGAAGATGGGTTTGTTCAAAACAATTTCTTATCAATAGTATGGTACGGCCTGTCTTGGCTCTGCCCCAAACACCACAGTTAGTCATTTCCCTTTGCTGATTGTAATGTACCTGCAGAAATTCAGGAAGCCTTGGACTGCAGAATTAGCGTTACCCATCCTGAAGCGCTCATCTACAATATGCATGGCCTGGTCTGCCCACTCTCTGAGGAAGGATGCTTTCCCTCAGAAGGTCTCGAAGCTTGCCCAAGGCAACAGTTTCTCCCTGAGCCAGACCCAGAACTCAGAGTTTCTATCCCTTAATATAGTTTTGTTTTCATCTGGCCTCATGGCTTCTGTGATGTCATGAAGCAAATGTCTGCTATCTCTGATATTGCTTTCTCTAAAGAGTTTACCACCTTGATTCCACCCATATGGGGCTGGAATAAATAGAGGAACATTTCCCTGTAGGCCTTGTATTTCATGGAAGGAAATTTTAGAGTCACAGAGATCTGACTGTAAATACCAACTCAACCACTCACATTCTACAAGTCACTTGTAGTTTGTGGTTTTCAGCAAGTCACTTTTCTACATCTGTCTTTATTTTTTCTCCTACAAAGAAAATCTGACTGCAAGGTTATTTTGAGGAATTACGATTACTGATATTAAAAGTGATGTTAGCATAAAGAGGTTGAATCTCACACTTTAGTTGTTACTGCATCCCTTTTACATCTTCGAGTTTTTGAATCATGAAGATATACTGCTTATTCAAAATATTAAACATTTTTAAGCAGAAATAAAATAGAACAATTGAGAATAAACAATATTTAGAAGAAAATTACCTTGGGCTAAAAAAAAGACATGAGATATTTAAATATATCCTGCTAAGTTCCCGAATTCTAAGGATAGAAAGAAACTCTTGCCAAATGCTGGGATGGAAGCAGTTACTGTGGTAGGCAGAATTATGGCCCTCCAAAGATGTCTATGTCCTAATCCCAGGAACCTGTGGGTATGTTTTTACATGGCAGGAGGGAATTAAGTTGCAAATAAAATTAAGCTTGTTAATCAGCTGACCTTAGGACAAGATTATCCTGGGTTGTCCAGATGAGCCCAATATAATCACAAGGGTCCTTAAAGGTGAAAAGAAAGGAGGAGGCAGAAGAGTCAGTGTCAGAATGATGCAATGTGTGAAAGACTCAGCTGGCTACTGCTGGCTTTGAAGGTGGAAACGGGCCACACCAAGAAAGGTGGTGGGTAGCCTCCAGAAGCTGAAAAGGCTAGGAAATAGATTCTCCCATAGAGCCTCTAGAAGAGAACACAGCCCTGTCAAGACCTTGGTTTTGGCCCATTGAGACCTGTTTCAGACTCTGACCTCCAGATAATAAATGTGTGTTGTTTTAAGATGCTAAGTTTTGATAATTTGTTACAGCAGCAACAGGAAATGAATACATCCCCATAAGCTAAGAGAAACAGACTAGCATTGGGTTCCTCTTCTAGATCAGAAGCCAGAATTCAGCGAAGTGACATCTCTGGATTACTGAGAAAAAAACTGTAATCCAAGAACATTCCACTAACCAAAAATATAACTTGTGAAGGTCCAAGGAACTCTTTTGGACATATAAGGATTCAGAGAATACCAACTAACATTTATTGAGATAAATATAAATACTCAATAAAATAGTCTAACCAAATTGCATTTGAAATAAATCTGTTACCTCAAGACAGGGGAAAACAGTAAAAAAAACAGTGGCCAGCAATGAATGTTACTCTGAATACTATATTTAAGTTTAAATGGAAATCATGAATGGGTCTGGCAGTAAGTAATATAAGCATCAAATACAGTGAGTCCCCTACATACGAACCTTCAAGTTGCAAACTTTCAAAGATGCAAACATGCATTCAATCACGTTAGTTCATGTGTCTGGCGTACATTGTCATGTGTATGCATCCTCTCCAAGTGGTTGTGCTTTTGTGTACTTTACTATGCAGTACTGTGTAGAGTACAGTAGTACAGTATCTTTAAGCCCAGGATGTCTGGAAGCATAAAAGCAGCGGTGATGAAACTGGTAAGAAGCGCCAGCTGTTGTACTACAATACTTTTCAAGGTACTGAACTGGAAGATTAAAACTGTTTTATTTTTGTGTTTGTTTTTTATGTATTATTTGTGTGAAAAGTATTATAAACCTATTACAGTAGGTACTATATAGCCGATTGTGTTAGTTGGGTACCTAGGCTAACTTTGTTGGACTTATGAACAAATTGGACTTACGAACATGCTCTCAGAACAGAACTCGTTCGTATGTAGGGGACTTACTGTAAATAAGAGTAAAACTAGTAAAGCTATGAGTTTTCATTAGGTTAGTAAAATGGAGGAAATGTTAAAGAACAGGCTGTGAAGGAAAGGAAAGAGAAAGCAAGGATGGTCTCTTCTCAGAGGACAGTAACAAAGAAAACTAATGATGGGCTAGAAAGTATAATAGTGCTCTCATTCTGCCCAATAATGATTAAGAATGGGGAGATAACCACTACCCTAAGCACAGTGGGAAGTTCCAATTTAGCAAGAGAAAAGGAACATAAGGAAAGGAAAAGACCAAGAAAACATAAATAGTACAAAGTAAAATGAAAGGAATAAGATGAAGTTATTACACTAAATAAAAATGTGGGGCTTCCCTGGTGGCGCAGTGGTTGAGAGTCTGCCTGCCAATGCAGGGGACACGGGTTTGCGCCCCGGTCTGGGAAGATCCCACATGCCACGGAGCGGCTGGGCCCGTGAGCCATGGCCGCTGAGCCTGCGCGTCCAGAGCCTGTGCTCCGCAACGCGAGAGGCCACAACAGTGAGAGGCTCGCGTACCGCAAAATAAAATAAATAAAAAAAATAAAATAAATTGAATTTCCCTACAGAAAAAGAAATTTGTATTTTGAGTTATTAAAAAATTAGCTATATGTTTTTTTATAAGAAATAACTAAAATGACAGAGGTTGAAAATAAATGGATGGGCAAAAACATGCCAAGTAAACAAGGATAAATCATTATTATTAGTGTTATACAGTATGGAAATAAAATACCAAAAGGATTATACTAGGCCAAAGTTGGCAAACTTCTTATCTAGAGGACCAGATAGGAAATAAATAGGCATTGTGGCCACAGTCCTTGTTGCAACCACTCACCTCTACTGTTGTAGACAATATGTAAATAAATGAACATGACTGTGTTCCAATAAAACTTTATTTATAAAACAGGCAGCAGGCCAGATTTGGTTTGTTGACCCCTACACTCAGCAGAGTAGGATATTGTTTAGTGATAAAAGTATGACTCTTAAATAGGGGTTAAGTTATATGTCTTTATAGGTCAAACAACATAAAGTAAAAAATCTCTGGATATTCAAGATTGTGGTTAAAAAATTCAATTTTAGGAAATTCTGATCCAGTATACCAAATTATATAAGAATGTGGAGAATTTTATCATTATAATCTACTGCTTAAATAGAATCTAGTATCCAAAAAATAATATACATTATTTTTCAATGTTATGGAACACATACAAAAATCAATCCTGTACTTAGCCACAAAGAAAAATGCTAAATACAAAAAAGTAGATACTTTCAGGCCACATTTACCAATCATAATAAAATAAAATTTGAAGTTACATCACTTAGGATGCTTTCAGCTCAAGTTTACAAAATGTCCAACTAAAAGTAACTTCAGCAATAAAGGTTTATTTTTCTTAGATAACAAGGCATCTAAGAGACAGTTCCAAATTGGCCTCGTAGCTCAGTGTTAGGGTGCTGGGTCAGCTTCTTTGATGTCCTCTCTTTTCTGCTGTTGGTTCCAAGATGGCTGCAGCAGCTCCAGGCATCAAGTTCTCAGAGGAAAATGTTTAAAAGCAAGAGATGAAAGAGGAGGGAGTCTTCCTAATGTATTTGTCTCTTCTGAATGAGGAAGATCTTTCCCAGAAGGCCCTGTAGATTCCTAGAACATACTGGCCATACACTGGAACATCTGGGCCATCTTGAGCTGCAAAGCGGGCTGAAAATTAGCATGTGACATCTGCAGCTTCTAAGACAAGACACAAATGCTCCCAACAGGAATGGGAATTGGGTATGGCTGCTAGGTAGGCAACCAACCCCTTCTGTCTGTGATATTATAAAAGATAATCTACAACCTGGAAACTAAGAAACAGCCTCCTAAATTTAGTTTACTCTTGGATCAGAAAGAAATAAAATATGAGATTATTGTAGGATAACACTTTCTATTTCATCATTTTCTGTTTTTGTTTTCTGTTCATTTATTCATCATCAGGGTGTTTGGTATTCTCTTTTCTGGCTTCTTAAATAGTACATTTAGTATATTTGAGTACTATCTTTCAGGTTTTCATGTTTTGCGTATACTTAAAGGCCATAAAAGTTCCTCTGAGTAACTTCAGCCACATCACACATTTCTTGACATGTAAAAACTCTCATTGTCATTCTGTTCATTACCACTGATGGTAACTGCATGACTTAGTTTCTTGTTAACCCAAGAGTAATTCGGCTGTTTTTTTTTTTCTTTTTAATTTCCAATAAAATTCACACTTGGCTATTGTTAAAATTATTACACTGTGGTGAGAAAATGTGATTCTGGTGTGTGTTAGAGACAAAATTTTTTCCAACCTTTTCATCTTTGACAATCATGGTCTAAAAAATTTGCATCTGTATAATTTTTCTTCAATATGAATTTTATTACTCAGGATAAAGGACAACTCTGAATAAAGGAATTTTCACTTGCATTACATTCTTCATGTCTTTCTCCAAGATAAAAAGAGTAAGTTGTGATTAGCCTAAGCTAATGGACTCTTCCCATTATTTCCATTCATATGGTTGCTTGCTAACATAAATTCTCTGATGATTAATAAGGGATAAGTGCTGATGGAAGGTTTTTCTACATTTATTAAATTCACTTGTGTTTCTCTATTATGCATTCTCTGATGTTGAATGGTAGTTGAGTCATGATTTAAAGTCCTCCCACATTCCTTATATTCATAGGGCTTTTCCTCAGTATGAATTACCTGATGTTGAATCAGTTGTGAGCAATGGCTGAAGGCTTTCCCACATTCCTTACATTCATATGGTTTCTCACCCGTATGAATTCTATAATGTACAGTAAGATGTGAGACCCGTTTGAAAGCCCTACCACATACCTTACATTGGTAGGGTTTCTCTCCTGTGTGAATTCTCTGATGTTGCTTAAGTTGTGAGTTCACCCTAAAGGCCTTCCCACATGACTTACATTCATAGGGTTTTTCACCAGTATGAATTCTCTGATGTCGAATAAGAGTTGAGCCTTGATTAAAGGCCTTCCCACATTCTTTACATTCATAGAGTTTCTTGCCAGTGTGAATAGTGTGATGTTGAATCAACTGAGAACGATGACTAAAGGTCTTCCCACATTCCTTGCATGCATAGGGTTTTTCACCAGTATGAATTCTATAATGTACTTTAAGATGTGAGATCCGATTGAAGGCCTTGCCACATTCCTTACACTGATAGGGTTTCTCACCAGTATGAATTCGTTGATGTTCAATCAGCTGTGAGCTTCGACTAAAGGCCTTTGCACAATCCTTACATTCATAAGGTTTCTCACCAGTATGAACTCGCTGATGTTGTATGAAATTTGAACCAGAATTGAAGGCCTTTCCACATTCCTTACATTCATACGGTTTCTTGCCAGAATGAATATTCTCGTGTTGAATTAGTCGTGAGCCATATTTAAAGGCCTTCCCACATTCCTTACATTTGTAGGGTTTCTCATTAGTATGAATCCCTTGATGATTAATAAGGAAGTCCTCTTGCCAGAAGTCTTTTCTACATTCATTATATCCATAGGGTTTTTCTCCAATATGAATTTTCTGATAAAAAGTAAGAGATGCTTGCTGGTCAAAAGCAGACATTTCTTCATTATCGATTATCATTTGACTCAAATGTCCATCTGGATTTCCCTCTTGCCTGTCAAACTGACTTCTGCATTCCCAATCATCTCGGAAACTTGAGCACTCAAAACCATAACTTGTAAGGCTTTCCATTATCTGCCACTGGGGTGACTGTACTTCATAACTGTGCTGCTTTGGAGATAATACCTTAGTATCATACCTGGACTCCAATACTGAAAAAGAACAAAACAAGTATGTATTTGTTTTTTCCTTTTCCAGAAAAAGTAACTTCTATAGTAAAAACTGGAAAGTTCAGACTCAGGATAATATCTGTAAGCTCTTGAATGTGACTAAGAAATTAGAAAATGGAGTAGAACAGAGAAAGAGGAAATACCATAAATAAAGATGAATGAGGTAATCAGAGAGATTATAAGAGTAGTTCTAAAATGTTAGTGTGGATCAGAATCACCACTGAACCATGGTTTTAAAAAATGAATGTTTCTATGAAACCCTAGAAAAGACACATATGAGTAACAGAAAGCAAATCATTTGTTGCCAGGGGCTGGGGGGTATGAGCAATTGTGTGGGAAAGAGCATAGGGAACTTTTCAGGGTGATAAATATGTTTTCTATCTTGTCTGTGGCAGTGGTCATGTAAGTGTATACATTTGTCAGTAGCCATTAAAATATTGTACTTAAGATGCATGCATTTAATATAAATTATACCTCAATAAAGTAGATTTTTAAAAATGATGGAGAGGGGTGACTGGATACTTCTCTGGCCAGAAGAACATGACGGTGCATCTGCTTGACAGGGGATGTGGTGGTATAGGAGGGCTATTTTCACATGTCCACTGGAAGGTGTAATAACACAGCTGTGGCCTTCTGCTGTAATGCTTTCTGTCTCTGAAGTTTAGCTGAACACCGTAGCTAGAGCTAATGTCAGCTGGACCAGTCTCTCCTGGACTTTTCCACTGCCTAAAAGTGTCCTTGGAAAAAGGAGGGCCTTTTTCCTTGTTTAGAAGATTAGGCCCAAATTTAATAGGGGTGGCCTCTTCCAGAGCAATATTCTTTGCTGGTTATTCAAACTGCGAGGAAAGGCTGAATGGCGTATTTGATCTTGATTCTACCTGGTACATGATTTCCGTACAGTGGCCCGTTTTACTGCAGTCACAGAAATCAGTCCCATTTGGTTAATAAAGAATTGGTTTCAGCTTCATGCAAGGAACTATGGGGAAAAGTGAATAGGTGCTTTTGAATGTATTCATAAGTTATACACAGAAGGCCAAAGGGGACTTTATAGGGGCACGTCTGCTTCCTGTGGTAGCATATCAGAGACCACTATTGCTTTTTTTGTGAAATTATTAAGCAAAAACTACTGGAATAAAAGATTACTTTGACAATGCAAGATGATGAAAAGTCTGTGAAAGAAGTATCAATTTTCTGGGAATGATGCTGCTGTCACCTCAAAAATTTGCACCACGTGAAGTTGTAAGAACAAAAAGAGTGAAAAGAGCAAAAAGTAGAGGTATTTTTTCAGACACCATGTTTGGTTGTTGAAGAGGGAAACTCTCTTTACGGGTCTCTTTATTGTGCTCTAACAACTGTGCTAAGACAGATTCCAAACACATCCATTATAATGGCTACCTATGAACTGGTGGTCCATCTACTCAATGGTTAGCAACATCTGGCTGCCATCCTATAAAGAAGGGACCAAAAGATTGCAGTGGACCAAGGAATATTAAAGCCAGCCTGGTGGACAGAAGAAAATTAGTTTGGGAATGTAACTATGCTCTAATGGAAATCTGGTTTTAGGAACTAAAGTGATAACACATTACTTGGTCTTTTTGGCAATGTGAAAAAAACTGCTGCCTCTAAGGACATGACATTAAAAGCACTCCTCTCTCCAAAATGCCATATTTTCTGTCATAGACATCAGACACAGTTGAGTTTTGCTGATTTATGGCGGTCAGAGTACAGTGTTTATTCCATGAGCACTTTGCACTCATCTGGATTAAGCCATCTCTAATCATATATTGTGCTATAACTATACAAAGATAGTACTAATTTTCTAATTTCTGGCTTCTGTTCTACTTCTTGTAAAGTTGCAAAATAGCAACAATAATAATGAGGTCCTCTGTATTATTTTTATATTTTCCTGATAGGATCTGCTGCAGTTTTTTAGAAGCTGATTATTTAGCATTAGTAGTTACTGTTTTTAACAACAAATGAAATAATGTCTAAAAATCTTATGTATAGCCTTAGCATTAAAATGTTTTGGTTTCCTCATATGGAAACTCAAAGGATCCCAAATGGCCAAAACAATCTTGAAAAGGAAGAACAAAGTTGGAGGCCTCTCTCACTTCCTGATTTCAAAGCATATTAAAGAGCTACAGTAATCAAAACAGTGTGGTACTGGCATAAAGGAAAACATAAAGACCAGTGGAACAGAATAGAGAGCACAGAAGTAAACCCATATACATATTGTCAAATGATCTTCAACAAGGATGCCAAGACCACACAATGAGGAAAGGACAGGCTCTTCAACAAATGGGGCTGAGGAAATTGGATATCCACATGCAAAAGAAAGAAGCAGGACCCTTACTTTATACCACATTTAAAAAAATAACTCAAAATGGATTAAAGACCTAAACCTAAGACTTAAAACTATAAACTAGAAGAAAACATAGGGGAAAAGCTTCATGACACTGTATCTGGCAATGGTTTCTTGGATATGGTAACAAAAGCACAGGCACCAAAAGCAAAAATAGACAAATGGGACTATATCAAACTTAAAAACTTCTGTGCATCAAAGGAAAAAAATCAACAGTGAAAAGGCAACCTACAGAATGGGAGAAAATATCTGCAAACCATATAACTGGTAAGAGGTTAATAGACAATATAAAGAACTCCTAAAACTCAACAAAAAACACAAATAACCTGATTTTAAAATGGGCAAAGGACTTGAATAGACATTTCTCCAAAGAAGACATATAGATGGCCAACAGGCGTATGAGAAGATGCTCAACATCACTAATCATTTGAGAAATGCAAATCAAAACTATAATGAGATACTGCCTCACAGCCATTAGGATGGCCACTATTAAAAAAAAAAAAGTGTTGATAGGGTGTGGAGAAATTGGAGCCCTTGTGCACTGTTGGTGGGAATGGAAAATGGTGCCGTCACTATGGAAAATAGTATAGTGGCTCTTTAAAAAGTTAAAAACAGAATTACCATATGATCCAGAAATTCTACTTTTGGGTATATATCCAAAAGAATTGAAAGCAGAATCTGAAAGAGATACCTGCACACCCATGTTCACTGCAACTTTATTTACAATAGCCAAGAGGTAGGAGCAACCCAAATGTCCATTGACAGATGAATGGATTAAAAAATTGTGGCATATACATACAGCCTTAAAATGGAAGGAAATCCTGTCACATGCTACATTATGGGTCACCCTTAAGGACATCACGCTAAGTGAAAGAAACCAGACACAAAATGCCACATATTGTATGATTTATGCAACATATCCACAATAAGCAAATCCATAGAGACAGAAAGCAGATTAGTGGTTGCCAAGTGCTGGGGGGGAGGGGGAATGAGGAATGACTGCTTAATGGGTATGGGTTTCCTTCTAGGGTATGTCTAGGAAAAACACACTTCTCAACACCATTCTACTCTCCATACTTCACTTCTGACACTTCTGGTCACCAAATGTGTGTGGGTTTTTCGCTTACACCAAGCAGCCCTCCATCTCTCTGGTAGATACTGATTGGGCAACCTACAAATTCAATTCCAACACTATCTTGCTGCAGATCTCACAGATTAAGGGCTCAGTCTCACAAGACTGCCCCTACCAGCGCCCCACCCCCCATAAATGGAAGTTCCCACAACCCCCTCCATGGGTTTTAATCATTTGCTAGAATGGCTTGCAGAATTTAGGAAAACAGTTTACTTACTATATTACCAGTTTATTACAAAGGATGTAACTTACGACTAGCCAGACAGAAGAGATGCATCGGGCAAGATGTGGGGAAAGGCTGTGGAGCTTCCATACCACCTCTGGGCACACCACCCTCCCAGCACCTCCATGTGTTCGGCAAACTGGAAGCTCTCTGAACCCCATACTTCAGGGACTTTTATGGAAACCTCACTATGTAGGCATGATTGATCAAATCATTGGCCATTAGTGATTAACTCAACCTCCAGCACCCCCTTTCCTGGGGTTGGGGGTGGAGCTGAGAGTTCCAACCCTTTAATCACATAATTGGTTCCCCTCTCAACCAGACCCCATCCTGAAGCTATCCAGGAGACCCCAGCCACCAGTCATCTAATTAGCATATAAGAAGACACTTATGACTCTGGAGATTCCAAGGGTTTTAAGACTTGTGTGCCAAAAAAACAGAGATGAAGAACAAATATATATTTCTTATTATAAATCACAATATCACAGGGTGATAAAAATATTCTGAAACTAGATAATGGTGAATGTACTAAATGCCAATGAACTATACACTTTAATAAGGTGAATTTTGTTATGTATATTTTACCATAAGTTAAAAAAATTTTTAAACCATTTTCCATAAAAACTATAAATGACCACAACTGGCTCAAGAAATGCAACACTTGAATGTTAGATTCAGTATTCAGTATCAGGAGTTCAGTATTAGGAAACCTATTCATATAATGCAGATTTTATAGATGGAAAGAAAAAACTAAAATATGAAAAGGCGGATCTTCTTTAACCTAAGAAAATACCCCATCTCATTCCTATGGCTGATATTATGCTTAATGAAAGACACTAAAAATATTCCTATTAAGGCCAAGAACAAGATTAGTACGTAAAACCCCTCTTAACAGTGTTCTGCGGGTACTACATAATCAGCATCCTAATCAGGCAAGAGAGAACAACCTGCAAGGTATAAAAATGTAAAAAATTATCACCATTTGCAGATGATATAATTGAATACTTGGAAAGCTCAAGAGAGTTACATAAGAAACTGTCATAAACAATGAGAAAATTCAGTAAGTTGCGTTAGCTACAAAATTCATCTGAAGATGTGAATGGCTTCTGTCGTATATAAAAAAATAACCAGTTGGAGTATAAAATGAATGCCATATTAGTCTATATTATAGATTATGCCAGTAACAGCAATAAATATAAACTACCTAGGAATAAATGTAATAAGACACATATAAGATCTATATGAAGAAAATGTTAAAACCTTGATCAGGGATGGACATAAATGAAAGGAAAATCCTGTCGTGTTCTTCAATAGAAGATTCCGCATAATAAAATCAGTTTTCTCCTAAATTAATCTATAAATTTACAGTGATTGCAGTAAGAAAAATTGCATGATTTTATTTTTTTTGAAAGCAAATATTCTGATTCTAGGGTTTGGATAGAAAAGTAAATGAGACTAGCCAGGAAAACTCTGAAAGATAAGAACGAAGAGGTACTAATTGTACCAGATATTTAAAACATTTAAACTCTTAATAAATTAAAATCATAATGGTATAGACACATGGTTAGAGAGGGGCTAGAACAGAAAGTTCAAAAATAGATCCAAATACAGAGGTGATAAAGCAGACAACAAAGGTGGCTTTATACATTAGTGGTGAAGAGATAAATGCTATTTCAATAAGTGGATAATAATCTGGAAAATAACATGAAATCACATCTTACACTGGACAAAATTCCATATGGGTCATAAATTTCATCATAAATAAGCTAGAAAAATATCACAGGAGACTCATAACCTCAGAGGGTGAAGTTCTCTTTAAATATGACACAAACCCACATATCTAAGGAGTAAACAAATTGAGCACCTCAAACAAACACATGCTGTCAAAACTCAAACGACAAAAGCAAAAAAATCTGTTCTGTGACATTTCAGGTGTGGTAGGCAGAATAATGGCCTCCCAGAGATGCCCATGTCCTAATTCTCGGAACCACGAATATGTTAGGTTAAACGGCAGCACACAGCTTCTCTCCCCATGTTCACTCCACCCCTGATCTCACTCACTCCAAGGGGTTAACTACCACTTCAACGTGGATGAACCTACCACATCAGTAACACTTAGTTCTTAGCTTCCCATTTGAAATTCTCTTGAATGCTGCAGAAACTGTTTATGGACATGATTTTGGTCTCGTGTCACACTGTAACTTTGGGTCTAATCAGGGAAGATTTTGTCCCCTCAGGGGACACTTGGCAATGTCTGGAGACATTTTTGGCTTCACAAGTAAAGGGAGGCCAGGGAAGCTGCTAAACATCCTGCAATGCATAGAATGACACCCCCTCCACCCTGGCCCCAACAAAGAATTATCCCACTCAAAATGTCAATACCACTGAGGTTCAGAAATCCCCCATCCAGAACAGGAGCACCCCAGGCAGAAGGGACAGCAAGGGAAGAAGCCTCGAAACAGGAATACGCTTGATGTTTCAAAGCCAGGATGCATATACTTGTATTGTCTGCTTTCGTGCTCCCATGGCAGAGCTGAGTACTTGCGACAGAGCCCACAGAGCGGGCAAAGCCTGAAACACTTAACTGTCTGGACCTTTAAACAAGACATTTGCCAACCTCTGTTAATGTAACAGCAAAGAGGCTTGTGTGGCTATAACCGAGTCAGCAACATGGAGGGTGGTAGGAAATCAAGTCAGAGTGGAGGCCGCAGGGCAGATTTTCTAGAGCAACTTAGTCCAACACAAGTTTCTGTGATACTGAAAATGTTCTATTCTATTCCAGTACGGCAGCTACTAGCTACACATGGCCACTCAGCATTGGCACTGTGGCTAGGGCGACTGTGAAATGGAATTCTATGTTTCATTTTAGTTAAAATTTAAACAGCATGTGTGGCTGATGGCTACAGTACAGACACAGAGCCTTCTAGGCCATGGTATGGGTTTTAGGTTTCCTCTTGAGTGATGGGAAGTTGTGGGCAGGTTTGTTTTTTGTTTTTTGTGGGTTTTTTTTGTGGTACGCGGGCTTATCACTGTTGTGGTCTCTCCTGTTGCGGAGCGCAGGCTCCGGACGTGCAGGCTCAGCAGCCATGGCTCATGGGCCCAGCCGCTCCGCGGCATGTGGGATCTTCCCGGACCGGGGCGCGAACCCGTGTCCCCTGCATCGGCAGGCGGACTCTCAACCACTGTGCCACCAGGGAAGCCCTGTGGGCAGGTTTTGAGCAGAAATGTGATACACCCTCACTGAAGTTTTGAGACGGTCTGGCTGCTGTGTGGAGAATGCACTGTAGTGGACAACAGTGCAGGCAGAGGCACAGGGAGGAGGCTACTGCAGTAGTCCAAGTGGTGCTGGGGACATGGGTGGTAGCAGTGTTGTTTGTTGGTAAGAAGTGGTTAAATTTTGGATATATTTCAGGGCAGAGTGAACAGGATTTCCTGACTGACAGACTGAATACATGTGTGAGACAGAAAAGTCAAGGGTGCTTCAGCAGTTTTTGACTTGAGCAATTAGAATAGAGTCCCCTGTTACTGAAGTGCAGAAGAAAGGGGGAAGAGTATATTTGTTAGGAAGGATCAAGGACTCCCTTTTGGACTTAAGCTCAAAGTGTCTGGTGAACATCCAAGTGGAGTTGATAAGAAGGCTGTAGGATAGAGGTATCTGGAGTTTTAAGGGAGAAGCTGAACATGAAGGTAATAATTTGTGTTGTCCAAAAGAACTTTCTCCAGTGATGGAAATATTCTGTATCTGCATTGTCCAATACTGTAGCCACAAGCCACAAAATTGCTATGGAACATTTGAAATGTGGCAAGTGCAACTGAGGTACTGAATTTTAAAGTGTATTTAATTGCAGGGAATTCCCTGGCGGTCCAGTACTTAGGGCTCCATGCTTTCACTGCCAGGGGCCCAGGTTTGATCCCTGGTCCAGGAACTAAGATCCCACAAGCCACACGTCATGCCCCCCACCCCAAAAGTATTTAATTGTAATGAATTTAAATTTCGATGGCCACACGTGGCCAGTGGCTCCACATTAGACAGCACAGGTGTGAGTGGTACGTATAGCATGGTCATGGAGAAGGTCCTGGGGAATGGAAATAAACAGAAGAGGCCCAAGTCTGAGCCCTGGGGTGCTCCAGCTTTTACAGAAAATGAGAAGATCCAACAAAGGAGGTTGAGGATGGTTAATGAGGTAGGTGAGAACAAGAGGTAGTGATGACCCAGATATACATAAATGTTTCAGGAAGGAAGGAACAACCACTTTTGTCAAATGCTGACGATAAGCTACGGAAGATGATGACTGAGACCAGACCTCTGAGTTTGGCAACTTGGAAGGAAATTTTTCTAACTCAAAAGGACTGCCTCCTCACCAGCCAGCTAGACAGTTATCTGCAGTGGGCTCTCTCTCCCCACACATGCCTCACTCACCTGGGCACTGGCCTCCTGTCGCTACTTTCTCCACCATCCAGGGCTCTCTGCCTTGTTCCAGGAAGGAGATCACATCAGGTTTGGAAATGGCAAAACCTGGATGTGAGAAGAAAACATGCCATGCAGTTACGGTGCGGGGCCCCAGAATTCAGACCTAGGGCCTGGTTATCGAGCAGGAGAGGCAGTTGCAGGACGGGCCAGGGGAATATGTGAGTCACCTGAAGGCTGAGGAAGATGTAGCTTCAGGCCATAGAGCTACCCTTTAACCAATCAAAAGACACCCCAAAATTGGTAAGAAGGAAGAGATGTGCCCAGGGGTAACCTCCAAACTGACCACATCGCCTTACCCAGTGAGACCAGGTTGCTATAGATCTCCAACATCACATCTCTGTACAAATCCCTCTGAGCAGGCACCAGCTGTTCCCATTCTTCTTGGGAGAAGACTACGGCCACATCCCTGAACAAGTCTGAACCCTGGAACAACAGGCAGGTATGTTATATGTGTATTTCAAGGAAATGTTTTTCACTGGGGTGAGAGGAGATGGAGGAGGTCTCTGCAAGAACGGGGTGTTCTGGTGAAAAAGAAGGCTGGGGCTGGAGGCCTTAGATGTGAACAAGTGACAGGAAAAGATGAGCACAGGTAAAAGAGATGTTCAAATATTCTTGAACTTCCCTTTTTACTACAAACCAAAGCTCTTGTACTCAGTTCTGGGATGAAAATTAAAATCCAGCCAAATGGAGTTTCTCAGTTGTAACAATATAATCAAGCACACTGCTTACTCTGTCCTTGGTATATGATAAATTCTCAATGTGAAACCTATCATTTGTACTTTTATGGAGTAACAACAACAAAACCCAACAATTTTTGGTAGACTTTCCCCAAAATGTTTTATTAAAAAATATTTTGTATCTTAGAAAACAGAACTTTCATTTAAGTCAAGAATTGCTTCAAAATGTAGGCTCATGATTATGTGAAAGCGTATCACAAACATTTTTCCTTATGAGAAAAATCTTCAATGAAGATTACTTTATTAGCTGTACAATTTTCTATCAAGTGAAATAACTGACTCAACCATTCTCTTCCTTTGGATGCAGAGGTCTCCAAGGTCAGATCTCTTAAGGCTGTTCCAAAACTATGACTACCCAGATTCTGAACATCTATCCATCTGTCTATCTTTCAGTCCTCAGCTCTGCACTTTGCTTGCTTTTAAACTCAAGAAGCTGATGGAGAATAACCAAGATTCCAATGCTCTGTTCAACTCCAAACTGAACCTTAATTCTGGCATCTTAATCTCTCCTAGATTCCCAGCTAAACTTCAGTTACACACCCAGTTGTCAATACAGGAGATGTCACCCCCCACACTGAAATTGAGACCAACCAATACCAGCTTCCCTGCTTTTTTGTGTGTGATCCCTCATCAGTAACCATCACCATTTCATCAAACCTCAGTTCCTATAAGGGATGCTCTCATTTTGTGTAAGGAAATGGATTTCTTCTCCCTCTGGCCTCCCAGCAAAATACCAAGCAAACAGAAGATATGGAATGCTATATAGAATGAATCCGTGCGGGCACTGATCAGAGTGGATGGGGCTATGGGAGAGGGTACTAGCTGCCTGGTCTTTTTTTTTTAATTTTTATTTTTTTTAAATTTTTGGCTGTGTTGGGTCTTTGTTGCTGCGTGCGGGCTTTCTCTAGTTGTGGCGAGTGGGGGCTACTCTTCATTGTGGTGCGAGGGCTTCTCATTGCAGTGGCTTCTCTGGTTGAGGAGCACAGGCTCTAGGTGCGTTGGCTTCAGTAGTTGTGGCACATGGGCTCAGTAGTTGTGGCTAGCGGGCTCTAGAGTACAGGCTCAGTAGTTGTGGCGCACGGGCTTAGCTGCTCCACGGCATGTGGGATCTTTCCAGAGGCCAGGGCTCGAACCCGTTCCCCTGCATTGGCAGGCAGATTCTTAACCACTGTGCCACCAGGGAAGCCCTGCCTGGTCTTTTTATTCCCTAAAATGGGAACCTCTGAGAACCAGATTCTTGGATGGAACCCAGGTGGGAAGCTTCAGGATAAGGAAAGCAAATACTTATATGATTTTAAAACTCACAAGGGACATGACTGTCAAAATTTCATGGGTTGACGGGTCCTCCTCCTGGTTTCTCTCTTAGGGAAGGGCAGAGTCCTGAGATGGCAGAGCTGAGGGAGGAAAGAGCAAACATGAGAGGCTAGGCTTGCTTCACAGCTCCCAGAATGCCACGGTGACAAATGCCCGCCTCCTTTACTCCCCATCCCCCCAAATTAGAGGGAGCTGGGACAAACTGTGGCCTTTACCCAGCTCCACCCTGTTACTGATGCAAATCTGAGGTGGGGATGCTCAGACCTGGTCCAGTGACTAAGGATGGTGTCCCAAGGACAAGGAAGGCCGTCCTTAGGCCAGGGAGCAAAGCCTGCCTGATCTGCATCAGCCCAGCCCACAATGAAACATTCCCAGAACCAAAGCATTTAACTGTCTCATTCCCACAATGTAACACCTTTGGAAGTCTCCCTGGCTCTTACCCTAACTTCCTAACTCACAAAGAACCTTACAGCCATACCTAAGGCCTGGCAGACACCATTTTGTGGACCCTGCCTGAGTCAACAAATGTTTGCAGTGGGCAAATTAGATGGAGCAGGTCCCGTACTCCATTATCATCACATAAACGTGCCCCTGCACAGATATATAACAGTGAGCAAAACTGTGTGCACAATATTTGCTGAAAAAACAGAACCAAAGATTAGTACCTAACAGTTCACAAGTAGGCAAGTAGTTGAATCATTTTTGGCACAGCCGTATTATGGATGCCAAGCAACTATCAAAAATGATGTGGAACAACATCAACTGACAAATATATTCACAACTGGACCCTTTGTACAACAAGAGAACATTCAGCAAAAGAAGTCAAACCCACCCACCTACTGACACACAGGTTAACCACCCCCCCCCAAAAAAACACCCACAACTGGAATGGAAAACAACCAAGTGTTAACAATGATGCCATTTAACCACTTCCTGAGTTCATCAGTAAAACCTCAGTATTTTATAAAAGAGCTTAGGACAGTGCCTGGCATGTTACAAATATTTAATTCTAAGTAATGTAATGTGTAAATGAAATAATGATAAGTGTTCCTTAATATCATGTAGTAGGACTTTTTCCTTATGACCACTTTTTTTTTAAGCATTATTTGTATTATCTATAAATAGTCTATTACAGCGGTGGCTAGTGATTTACTCAACCACTTCCCCACGGTTGGACAAATTTTCAACAAGATCCTCTAAATTGTCTCCAAGTTGCTCCTTCTAAACTAGTGGTTCCAAATCTTCTGGGGTCTTGCAACTCGTTGACAGTCTCATGAAACAAGACTTCGCCCCAGATCTTTTAAAAAGCACGCGTAAGAATAAACGCAAAACATCCGTAAGTATTTTCTGGAGGTGGGGACTCCCCCAACAGACACACCCACCTAAGGGGTCTATGGACCCGGGCTATGAGCCCTGATGCCGACAGGGGGCGCAAGCAGGGCGCGCGCCGCGGGGGACGATGGGAAGTGTAGTCCAGAGCCGGGAAAGCCGCAGACCAACGATGAAGCGAGACGTTCGGGTTCTTCCCAGGCCCGCGACCCGCCCGGCCGCGGCGCTCAGTCCTGCGTGGACTCCGGAGCGCTTGGCAAGCTCCGAAGACCCTCACCTGCCGCCTCCTCGGGTCCAGCTGTCCCCGTGGTCGCGCCCCGCGCAGCCCCAGGTGCGCTTCCCCCTCCGTACCGGCGGACTCGGGAGCCGGAAGACAGCGCAGACGCACAAAGCCCCTTGGCTGATGTGTCGCGATTGGGCCAGCGCCGCAGTCTCTTCTGGGAAACGTAGTCTCCAGGCCTAAAGGCTGAACCAAACCGCAAGGCCGCGTCTCGCGATGCTTCGGGTGGGCGGGGTGCTTGTGTGCGTGGGAGGCTGTCGGGGTTACGGCAGAGCGTGTTGGGTTCCCTGAGTCGTAGGGTGAGGGTCGGTCTGTTGGGCCCGTTGTCTGCGTGTGACTGTCTCGCTGATTGCAGGTGAGTGTGTGTGACTGTGACTGGGCGCGCCGTGTTCGGTTCTCACCCGGTCGTTCAGTGTGTGACTGGGACCGTTAAACGCCAGGTACACGTTTGCGTGTGGCTGTGTAAAAGTGGTATATGACAGAATTTTTCTCGTCTATTGTTAAATCATCTTTGCCGTGGAACAGCCATTTTATTGAAAGATTTGGAGAGAGGAAAAAGCCCGAGAGTTCATTTGGTAACTAATTTTAAAACATTATGTCGAAATACTTGTAGATTATGAAGGAGAATGCAGAATCAGCAAAAATGTTTTAAAGGAGTTGTCAAGGAGTTTCCTGTTATGAGATGACATTTTCCGGCTAAGGCCTCTAGTGCTACAACTTTGGTTTGTGAAAGCATGAGAAGCTCTGAACTTCACCCATCCCGGGACAGCGTGTTCCAGTATGGTCGGAAGTCCAATGTCCTGGTTGCCGGTCAGACCATGTTATACCTGGTCTGTGAATGAGGAAAACATCCCTATCCAAGGTGGTACATTTGTCCTTGACCCAGGCCCACAGTCCAGAGACCTTTTCTCTTGATTTCTCTTCGAACATGTACTCTTGTGTCTCACTTCTTGAAACATTTTTTTGAGATTTGTGCACATCCATGTTGCTGCATATTGGAGGATGTCTTTTTCTCTAAATTAATTTAGAAATGTAATTTAAACCCAGTAAGAATACCAGTACTGTTTCTTCATTGGAAATGGACAAGTTGATGCTAAAGTTCAAATGAAAAACTAAACATACAAAAATAGCTAAGAATACTCTGAGAAAATGAAGCTATTGTGTATGCTAACCTGATCAGATATTAAAGCATTCTAAAAACTTCTATAATTATACCTGCTGTGTGGTATTGGCTCATGAATTGTCAGGTGGAAGAGACTAGAAAGTCCAGAAATATCAAATACAGAGGGAAATCTACTCTGTAGTAAAGGTGGCAAATCATTGGGATAAAAATGAACTTTTTAATAAATAACCTTGTGGAATAATTGGATAGTCAGTTGGAAAAAAATAGAATTGTATTTTATACAACTAGTATAATAATTATATTTGTAAAATATAGTTATTATTGTATTATTGTATAATTATTATACAATTACTATACAATTTTATACATACCTCTCACATCATGCAAAAGAATAAACTCCAAATTGATCAGAGTTCTAAACTAAACCATGCAAATAGCAGACATGTACAGAGGTGAATTCTACTATAACCTGGATGTGTGGAAAGACTTTCTAATTTCGACTTAAAAATCCAGACTTAATAAAAGACTGCTGCACTTAAAACATAAAATTAAAGCACTTACGTAAGGCAAAATACACCACGAACAAAGGCAAAAGACAGATGGCAAAATCTTTACAACTTTATAAATCTCAGATAAGGAGCTAATATTCCTAATATATAAAGGCAAAAAGCCAGAAAATGCAAGCAATCTCTGAACTCAACTTAGTAGATTGTTTTTCCTAATAGCGTTGGTGTAGTGGTTTCGAAACTGTTTTGTGTGCATCATAGGATTGAGCAAATGAATAAATATATAGATTTTTTGGGAGCCAGTGTTTTACTGTGGGAAAAGAGAGACATAAATAAAGGATAATGGAAGGTAAGGAAGAACGTTGTGATGTTGGGTTGGGGTGAACTCATGATTAAAAGTGTGTCTGTATACCTCACCCAGATCAGTGTTAACACCCATAGTGAGGGCATGCTGATATCATTTACTTTTGCTAAGATGTGGTGGAAATGACAGTTTACCTCTATGGTCTTCCTCCCCAAAACGCATAACCCCACTTTGATGAGAGAACATCAGACAAATGCCAGTTCAGGGACATTAGACAAAATATCTGACTCAAACTCCTCAAAACTGTGGAGGTCATTGAAAATGAGGAAAGTCTTAGAAACCATCACAACTAAAAGAAGCCTAAGAGGACACAACTACACTAAAAATAATGTATCCTGAATGAGATCCTGGAACAGAAAAAGGACATTAGATAAAAACTAAGAAAAAATAAAGTGTGGACTTTAGTTAATAATAACGTATCAATGTTGGCTCATTGTTAAACAAAAAACAGACTAATGATAGGGGAAACTGGGTGCAGAGTATGTGGGAATCTTCTGTACTATCTTTGAAGTTTTTCTGTAAATCAAAAACTTCTAAAATAAAGTTTATTTAAATTAATTAGTCTTACTATTACTTAAAAAAAAGTATTTATGTACTTATGTATTTTCTATGTTTCTATTTGGTGAATGGGCCTGGAAGCAATGATGCCTCAGTAGCAATAAGCAGATCTTGGTCTTTAAATACAATTCTCTAATAAAAGGAACCAAAGCTTCTTGGGGTAATGTCTGAGTCCAGGACGATAGCAGGGAAAGTACAAGATGAGTATGGAATATCTTCTTGTGCCAAAAAGTAGGGAGATGCTCAAAAAATATCACAGAGGATTCCCTGCTCACAACTGTGATGGTGTGATAGTACTAAACTAGGTAACATGTAGGAAACAAGTTTTTTCATATATTGGACAACTGGAAGTGCAAGACTTTGATCCCCAAGAGAGGGAAGAATAAATGAGTTCCTACAGCTGCAATGGCTTTCTCCCTGGAGACATATTCCAGACAATGCAGGAAGGAGGAACGCAAGCACAGCGCAACAGATTTACTAAAGTGAGACAACAGAACTTGGGGAAACTGAAGTAACTGGAATTTGCCGAGCAGAGCGTGGAAGAGCAAGGAAGAGGAAGGAGGGAGATACTCTGACAAAGAGCTCCAGAAATATGCATGAGTCTCCCTGAGTTTTTGGCTGAAAGCTAAGCTGCACATAGATCTATTTAAAGTGAAATTCTAGAACATGAAAAACTGTAGGGACAGAAAGTAGATCAGTGGTTGCTTTGGTCCAGGGGTCCAGGGAAAGTCAGAAAAGGAATAGAAGGGGAATTTGGGGGATGATGGAAACCTCCCATATCTTTATTGAGGTGATGATTGCATGGATGTATATGTTTGTCAAAGCTCTTTGATGTATATTCTTCAGGATTCAGCTTGAAGGGGGCTTCTGTGGGCAAAACCAGGACAATTGAAGCATCAATATAATTAGAGTAGCAGTATGACTCAAAATATTTCATATGTCCATACTAAAATAAATGATGAATTAATGAGATGAGAAAGAACTTACAGAATTCCAGCTAGTAAATGTAGAAGGAATGATAGAGTTAGAAAATATCTTTCAACCATCATGGTAGTAATTGATTCTGGCAGAAATCTCATTGATTATAAATCTGTTGCTAAAGATTGACGATGAACAGGATATTCTTGTAGTCTCAAATTATCTCCCCACAGATAACTTGCTACAAAAACAAAAATACTTTAGCGTGATCACAGTTAATCAAATGATTTGAATTTGCAACTGTCTTCTGGACTCTAGGTTCTCGAGGTGTGAAATTCAAACTTGCTGTGCTCAGTCACTTCTTGATTTAATATAGTAACCAGATCTTGTCTCTAAGATGTTGATGTTTTGTTTATCATGAACTTTTTTTTTAATTGAGACCACCAATGGGTCTTTTCCCCCCCGCCCCCACATTTTATTTATTCATTATTTTTGGCTGAGTTGGGTCTTCGTTGCTGCGCGCGGGCTTTCTCTAGTTTCAGAGAGTGGGGCTACTCTTCGTCAGGGTGCACGGGCTTCTCTTGTTGCGGAGCATGGGCTCTAGGAGTGCGGGCTTCAGTAGTTGCAGCACGTGGGCTCAGTAGTTGTGGCTCGTGGGCTCTAGAGTGCAGGCTCAGTAGTTGTGGCGCACGGGCTTAGTTGCTCCGCCACATGTGGGATCCTCCCGGACCAGGGCTTGAACCCGTGTCCCCTGCATTGGCAGAAGGATTCTTAACCACTGTGCCACCAGGGAAGTCCCTATCATGAACTTTTATTTATTTATTTATTTTTGCGGTACGCGGGCCTCTCACTATTGTGGCCTCTCCCGTTGTGGAGCACAGGCTCCGGACGCTCAGGCTCAGCGGCCATGGCTCACGGGCCCAGCCGCTCCGCGGCATGTGGGATCCTCCCGGACCGGGGCACAAACCCGTGTCCCCTGCATCGGCAGGCGGACTCTCAACCACTGCGCCACCAGGGAAGCCCGAACTTTTTACATTGATCTTTATTTTAAAAAATATTTCATTGATCTTTTCCCGTTTTTTGATTTCTGGGGTTTTTTTTTTTTGGTGCCCCATTAAACGTTGTGCTTGAAGGAGTGCTTCACTCACCTCACTCTAGTTGTGGCCTTGGCTTAAGCATGTTTGGGAGAGGTTGAGGAAAGGAAGGATGGAAGAACAGATGCGCTGCGGCATCTAAACTCTACCCTATTCTCAGGTTCCTGTCCCTTCTGTTCTTCGAGAAAAGTTGTTTTCTTCTCACCTCTTTGAAAAACTCCTTGGCCTTTGAAAAGCTGTCTGATTCCAACAATCCCAAACTAATCATTCTAAAAGCTGCGCTTTGTGCTTCACATACACTGACAGTGTAAAACAGATACTATTTTCCTCATTTTGACTATGAAGTAAATGGAGATGGACAAAGGTTAAATGACTTGCTAAAGGACACAGAGCTGGTGGAGTGGAGGAGTTGGTATTTCCACCAAACCAGACCTTAGTACCTGTGGGTGGAGGAGATGCTGCCTCTGCTTTCTGAGGGATGAGTGAGCCAGTGTGGTGGAACCTTGGAGAAAGCATCTTCAGAGACAGAAG